CTGGTGTCAATCGCAAGGCGTTGATCTTGGAAATCGGGTGGAGTGGACCAGACCGCAGCAGCAGCACTTCACGTACATGAAGACCAAGGGAGGCACCAACAGCGACGTGAAAGGCAGTGATGTCGAAAGGGTGATGATACAAAAACGCAAGGCAATATGGATCCGACAGCTGTGAGATTTGAACTCACGCGGGTTACCCCAATAGATTTCTAGTCTTTCGCCTTAACCACTCGGCCAAGCTGTCGTTAGAAATACAATCAATTTTAGTCAATCAACACGTCCAGCATAAACAAGCGACTACACAACATATACCGAGACGGACCAGGCAGCATCCTTTGCTACTTGTCTTCCCTCCCTCTCACCCGTCTCATCATCGGCATACCCCTCACCAACTTTAACCAATGCTCTGCACCCGACCTAGCACTGCCGCTGCTCTTTTTATTTATTATCAGTGCCAACGAGTTTGCGAACAACTAGCTTCGTCGACAGCACCGCGCTACCGTTCGACCACGACGCGATAGCAGGAGGAGGAATGGCGGCAGCATGTGCAGGCGTCTCGAAAAGTGGCTCTGTGTGGACGAAGCGGCAAAAGCCAAGAAGATATCGGAGGAGGGGATCGAACCCTCGATCTTGAGCGTGTTAAGCTCACGTCCTAACCACTAGACGACACCGACGCTCCACACTGAACACACCCATCGCATCACAAATTTGGCGCACACACCTGCGCCTCTCTCCTTTCCGACACCACTTGTCCTGGCATCCTATGCGCGCCCCCACGCCAGCCCCTCGCCGCATCGGGAGACCCCAACCATCACAGCGTGGCAACCGCCGGCTACGGATCGGGTGTACTTCTAGTTACGCCATGTCGAGGCGCGATAGTTACTCAAACCAGAGCCCATTTGGCTACTGGCGCATGCTTGCGTCTCAGGTGCGGTCCATACACAAACAAGGGCGCATACGGCGTCCCTTCAGTAGTAAAATATCGACGAATGCATAGGACCGAGCTGTGGTCATAGAAAGCGTTATCTTGAAATCGGTTGGGGTGGACAGACGCAGCAGCAGCACTTCACGTACATGAAGAGGAAGGGAGGCACCAACAGCGACGTGAAAGGCAGTGATGTCGAAAAGGTGATGATACAAAAACGCAAGGGAATATGGATCCGACAGCTGTGAGATTTGAACTCACGCGGCCCACCCCAATAGATTTCTAGTCTATCGCCTCAACCACTCGGCCAAGCTGTCGTTAGAAATACAATCCATTTCAGTCAATCAACACATCCACCATAAACAAGCGACTACACAACATATACCGCGACGGACCAGGCAGCATCCTTTGCTACTTGTCTTCCCTCCCTCTCACCCGTCTCATCATCGCCATACCCCTCACCAACTTCAACCAATGCTCTGCACCCGACCTAGCACTGCCGCTGCTCTTTTTTTCATTATCTGTGCCAACGAGGCTGCGAACAACTAGCTTCGTCGACAGCACCGCGCTACCGTTCGACCACAACGCGATAGCAGGAGGAGGAATGGCGGCAGCATGTGCAGGCGTCTCGAAAAGTGGCTCTGTGTGGACGAAGCGGCAAAAGCCAAGAAGATATCGGAGGAGGGGATCGAACCCTCGATCTTGAGCGTGTTAAGCTCACGTCCTAACCACTAGACGACACCGACGCTCCACACTCAACACACCCATCGCATCACAAATTTGGCGCACACACCTGCGCCTCTCTCCTTTCCGACACCACTTGTCCTGGCATCCTATGCGCGCCCCCACGCCAGCCCCTCGCCGCATCGGGAGACCCCAACCATCACAGCGTGGCAACCCGCCGGCCCACCTCAGCTACGGATCGGGTGTACTTCTAGTAACGCGCTGTCGAGGCGCGATATTCACTCAAAACAGAGTCCATTTGGCTACTGGCGCATGCTTGCGTCTCAGGTGCGGTCCATACACAAACAAGGGCGCATACGGCGTCCCTTCAGTAGTAAAATATCGACGAATGCATAGGACCGAGCTGTGGTCATAGAAAGCGTTATCTTGAAATCGGTTGGGGTGGACAGACGCAGCAGCAGCACTTCACGTACATGAAGACCAAGGGAGGCACCAACAGCGACGTGAAAGGCAGTGATGTCGAAAAGGTGATGATACAAAAACGCAAGGCAATATGGATCCGACAGCTGTGAGATTTGAACTCACGCGGGTTACCCCAATAGATTTCTAGTCTATCGCCTTAACCACTCGGCCAAGCTGTCGTTAGAAATACAATCCATTTCAGTCAATCAACACATCCACCATAAACAAGCGACTACACAACATATACCGCGACGGACCAGGCAGCATCCTTTGCTACCTGTCTTCTCTCCTTCTCACCCGTCTCATCATCGCCATACCCCTCACCAACTTCAACCAATGCTCTGCACCCGACCTAGCACTGCCGCTGCTCTTTTTTTCATTATCTGTGCCAACGAGGCTGCGAACAACTAGCTTCGTCGACAGCACCGCGCTACGA